AGGAGATGTGGTTGTCATGGAGACACAGGGAGCTGGGGAGGGCTTCAAGTGGGGGGCGTCAGGAGATTTGGGCAAAGCTGTGGGAGCCATGGACACGTGGGTCTGCGTGCATTATGGTCTGGGTGAGCTGCTGAAACAGATACCCTCTTAACAGTTTAATACAGTAAGAGTTTCTTTCTCACTCATGCTTTGGGGTGGTGGATGGAAATCTGTCCATATGCAAGCTCCTGCCATGCAGGGCTTTCTTCCAGGCGTTCTGTAATCCACTTGGAGGAATGCGTACTGCTCAGGTCTTGTGGGCCAGCCCCGGAAGTAGTAAGGCATGACTTCCTCTCACTTCTGGAATGCATCTCACAGTCACTCCGAACCGTGAGGTGGCTGAAAAATGCATTCTACATTAGTGGTCATCCACAGCCTTGGTTTCTGAGCCCCATGAAAAGAACAGGGAGATGCACATCTGATAGGCATGTGTTATATGTGGCATTTAACATGTGGACACAGGATAGGTGGCTGCGAGAAATGTGAAGAATGAGGGCTGGGTTCACCAGAAATACCATGGTTTGGGGGCTTTGGTGTAGCCGAAGTTCATTACTACACACACACACACACACACACACACACACACACACATGCACACACACACACACACACCCTCCAGAGAGGCCCAGAGTTACCCCCTGAGGAGCTCCGCTTCTTTTTCAAACACAAATTTTTAAATTTAGTCATTTAATAGACAGCGGGAAAATAAATTTGCGCTACAGAGGAATTCAGAACTCTACCCTAGGGGAACAGCAAGCATAGGTAGGGTAAAGCTGGAAAGATGCCGTGACAGAATCCTTCACTTGGATGGCAAAAAATTTAGCCAAAGGCTGTCTCTGGAGCTCAGGTTTGTTCTCTATGTTACTGCAGACCGTGTTGGTTTATAAGGAGTGCCAGAGAGCTTTGCTGGTCCGCCCTGTTCTAGGTGGCTGTGGTAGTTGTATCCTTTCCATCCTGGGCGACAGCAGTGTGACGAGGTGTGCCGAGGAGCTAAGGCTTATGTCTTGACACATTTGTTTTAGTTTGGGAATAGGTTTTACAACCAGCGGGATCATGTGTGTGTGTGTGTGGGGTGTGTGTGCGTGCGTGCACACGAGAGCATGTTTAAACTGTTGGTGATGTCTAAGGAAATCCAGCACACAGGCTAAGAATCCCTCATGTGCAGGACTTGGAACCAGAAGCGTTACAAAGACTTTCCTGGCTGAGCATCCCTAACCCAAAAATGTAAAATCTGCAGCCCTCTAAGTCTAAGGTGTTTTGAGCACCAGTGTAACACTCAAATTTTGAAACACTGGGTTTTGAAACATTTTGAATTGGGGTTTTCAGATTGGGTTGCTTGGACTATATCAGAACCGCACTTAATCCATGGTTTCAATACAAAAGTGTAAGTAATATTAGAATCATGGGTATACTTTTAAAAGAATACGATTTTATACGTTCATAAAAATTTGAAAATTTAAGTAAGTCAGATTTACTCCATCATAAGTTTACTTTGTTCCCCTTTCAAGAGTCACCTGATTTTGTGTGCTGTGTTTGTTCTGGTGTCCCCACAATTAACTGTGATATGCCTGAGAATATCAGGTTGCTGCATTTACAATTGCCATTACAATTGGAAGTCTGTTGCCTTAATTAATTTTCATAAGTTAATTTATCACTGATGAAATGTGAAACTTTAATATTATTTAAAGAAAAAAACTTGACAAATTAAATTTCACATTTTGACATATGAATTGAGCAACACCCAAAGCAGAAGAGATCAAGGGAGCTCCACTCTGCAGAAGAGGAAGTGAGGGGAACAGAACAGGAAGCAGAGGCTAGAAACAGCACTAGCCTAGGACTAGGCTTTTGCCTTCAGTGGATAGGGTTTGATGACTGGCTTCCTGTGATTGGCTGGAGCTTGGACACTTGTGGCTGGCAGGAGTTGGGATGCCTGTGATTGGCTGAGGTTGGGATATTTGTGGTTGGCTGGAGTTGGGATGCCTGTGATTGGTTGGAGTTGGGATATTTGTGATTGGCTAGAGTTGGGAAGCCTGTAACTGGCTGAGTTCAGCTGCTTGTACTCTGCTTGAGGTTTTATGTTTGTGTACTAAATTAGATTGTGGCCCCTTTTGCAGGAGTCAAAGTAACGAGATAACTTCATGTCCATGGACTCCTGTTTATTTAATTTAACAATATAAAGTTATTGGGTTCATAAGAAAGTTACAGGGATTGTAAATGAAAATGAAAGGCTCGGTATGATAAGACTCCACATGCAGGCGTTAAAAAGTTCTCTCACAGGAGCCCTCCGTGCAGGAGGTGCCCAGGGTGGCTTGCTCTGTCCGGCCAGTGTTTCCCCTGAGAGTCTGAAGCCGGGCAGCCAGGAGGCAGCGCTGAGCTGAGGGCTGAGGCCTCGCGGGGACCTCGGGCACCCTGGGAGCTGAATGATGATCAGAAACCACCCCGCCCTTCTCCGTGGGGTTCCTGTACCTCCGCAGGCTGCCTTCCTCCTCCTGGCCCCGAGTGAGGTGCACCCTTCCCTCCACCTCGCTACTGGCTTGGTATCCGCATAGCAGCATCAGTGCTGCCAGGAATGCGCACAGCCCCTGTTTAAATTTCTCATTTGCAAAAAGAAAAAATAAACAAATTTCTCATTTGCAGTGCCCTAGGTGTACCTATAGGTCTTTGGTTTAATAATGTAGTAAATAGAATCGTGCAGAAGATGAACTGCTGGTTGTACTGTTGTCATCCAGTGTAATTTTCTGGAGATTCAAGCAAGCTGTTTTTTTGATCATTTTCCTTTTATGGCTGCATAGTACTCCACAGCATAGATGTCCCATAGCTTAACAGTTCAACTGCTGAAAGACATGTGAGTTGTTTCAATTTTTGACTGCTACAAGTAAAGCTGCTATAAGGTTCTTCTATAGATTTTTGCATGGACATCACTTTCACATATTTCTGAGATATAGCAAATTTCCCAAGAACATGATTGCTGTATCATATGCTAGTTATACATCTAGCTTTGTAAGTTTTATAAGAAACTAGTGCTCCATTGTGTAGGCCCTTATCACTGCATGGAGGAGCTGTTTCTCTGGATCCTCCCCCGCATTTGATTTTTGACGTCACCTCTTGTTTAGCCCATTTTGAGAGGTGTGTGGTGCGCTCTCCCTGTGGTTTTGTGTTTGGGTTGGCATAAGACAAGCATCTAATGATACGGAGCATCTGTTTATGTGTTTGCTTGTGGCACATCCTTTTTAGTGAAATGTCAGCTGGTAGCATTTGCTTATTCTTTAACTGAAATCTATGTGTCTTTAATGCCTAGTCTTGATCGGAACATATTTTGAAATTTTTTATTTTGGCTATCTGTATTTTTATAAGATAGTTCTCATTCTCTGAATTTCAAAGACAAATTTGAAAAGATTCAGATCCGGTTTTTCAGGGGTACAATATGTTTTCCTATCTTTCCAAGATTGTTAGTCACAAAACATTTAAGATGTTTTCCTCTAACATCTGCTTTGGTTGTGTCTTTTTCTTCTTCCTTCCTTCCTTCCTTCCTTCCTTCCTTCCTTCCTTCCTTCCTTCCTTCCTTCCTTCATTCTTCCCTCCCTTCCTCTTTCTCTTTTCTTTCTTTCTTTCTTTCTTTTTCTTTCTTTCTTTCTTTCTTTCTTTCTTTCTTTCTTTCTTTCTTTCCTTCCTTCCTTCCTTCCCTCCCTCTTTCCCTCCCTCCCTCCCTCCCTCCTTCCTTCCTTCCTTCCTGATTTTCTGTTTGCTGCACACTGTTTCTTCATTTCACAATGGAGTCTTTCCTAAAACATCCCGTGAATAATGGTTCAGGTCTGCCTTGCATTTGTAGGCTCACCACAGATCCAAATGGCAGTGCATATACCATAGACCTAGTTCTTGGAGATTGTGATTCAGGTTAATGAACAGTGCCACCTCCTGCCTAGACCAGCGAGCTCCAGAACAATATCAATAGTAATGATGAGGATGACAAACTTACATAAAGCTATGTTTAACAAACAGAAGCCATAAGAACATCAAAGATAACTGAATTTAAATATAGCTCATATCTAGGTGTTTTAGAGATGTGTGAACCAGTAATAAAATGTATCAGTTATCTTCTCTATGTTATTTTTCTTGCCCACAAATTCCTTAATATTGTCATAAGGAAGGCTTTTGCATTTACTGACAAAATGACCTATAGACTAAAAAGAACCAAAGCTGTGTCCATAATGTATCTGAACATATGCAATCTGTATATATTTTCATCAGAAAACATAAGTTAAAGTGAATATAAGAAAACTAAGTTTTATTTTTCATATACAGTGCAAACGTTTATTTTTATCAAGACATTTAGACACACGCTTCTGGTTATGCATCATACACCAGCCCTGTGCTAAGTCTGAGGGACCACCTTCCTGGAGTCCTGTGCTTCTGAGGTATGGGAGACCCTCCGCCTGGTTTTCTGCTTGTAACGGAACAGGGCGCTAGAAAAGGCCTGTTCGGGGTGCGGCTGTGGGGCTTGTGCTGGGTGCAGCACTTGGGTGTCCTTGCTCTGAGCGACCCTCCTCCCCTGGGGGTTCCCCAGCTACAGGAGTCTCCAGACAGCTGTGGGCAGCTCCGAGGGCGGAGGGTCGGCTCCCGAACCAGATGGCAGTGGCGTGCAGAGAGCAGGTGTCAGAGCCGGCTGTCTGGGGGAGTGCAGGGCTCAGGGAGTGCCCACTGGCGCTTTCTGGTGGGGGCAGAACCTGGCCTCACAGCCCTGTCCGCCGTGTCTATGAGGTGAACAAGAGTTACGGAGAAACTTTTCAACAATTCATAATTTTAGTCAGATAAAACTCTTTTGTCTTGCCAGACTCTTACAATGAGGAAGACTTAAAAATACAACAGGGTAGCCCAGTGCAGGCAACTTAGAGATTTTAGTAAGACCCTGCCTCAAACAAAAAATTGTAAAAAAGGGAGCTAAGGATGTAGCTCAGTGCAAAGGCCCTGGGTGCTATTTCTAGTACCAGAAGAAAACAAACAAAAGCACAACTCTAGAGGCTGGCAGCATCAGTCCCTAAAACCTGTTAGGTGTGTGATTTCTCAGGCCAGCAAAAGTCAGAGTGGAGGGCGTCCTCGCCAGCCTGCAGAGGTATGGCTTTTGTAGGTCTGGGTAGGGCTCAGGAACATGCTATTACCAGAGGAAAGTTTTCATAAGAAGTGATTTCTCTTCAAAGATTGGTAAATGCATTAAGGAAGGTCTGTAGAAGAGCTTATTTTCCACACAACCTTGGAGGACACTTTCCAGACAGCTGGCTTGGCTACACCGAAATGCAGCTAGCTGGCCGTGCATCTGTGGGTCCCGCACCTGTGGGTTCCAGCGTCCACAGGTCAGGAGGATGTTTTAAAAGGCACCTGTACTTGACTGCGCAGTGTTTTCCTTGAGAAGTTCCCTGTAACAACTGCTGCATCAGGCACTGTAAGTAATCAAGAGATGAGTTAAAGCACAGGGGGTGTTTGTAGACGGTATGCAAACACCATGCCGATTTATATAAGGACCTGAGCACCACAGGGGTCCCAGGACAGCCCCTGACACCCAAGGAACACCTGCAGAGGTTCTAAATTCAGCAAGATTTTTCACTTCTGGTGTCAGTGGCTCTGAGATGGTAAAGCTGTAATAAATCTTTTATCAAAGATTAGAGCTGAATAACCTCAAGAGCTTACAGTTTGTTTCGAATTGAGAAGAAAAATCGAAGCCTCAGGTTTTACACATATAAATAGTCACTCTTGCAATAAACTGAAAAGTGATTTCTGGTGACTTTGAAGCCAATTGCTGACTTCCTATTCAGTGCAATTTGAGGATCTTCTGCATTGGAGCTGAACGTCCTAGGAGAGCTAGGAGAAGAGGAGAGGAAATGCTCCACTCACACCTTCCGAATCACTTCCGTCTTCAGAGTTTCGTGTAGCCCTGGCCAGCCATCGATATGTCCCCGTGTCAGGGGTGACATTTCTGGACGCAGACTCAGGGCTGGGAAGGACATCGGTGTCTATCCAGGCACAGGTGCTGCCCGGCGTCTGCTGCTGGACAGCTCTAACGTCACAAAAGCAAGACTTATGGCTTGCAGGCCTGGACAGCGGCCACGACACGCACGTCCTCCCTTTCCTAACTTCATGTCTGTCACCACCGTTATCTGTTCGCACCAGATTCCAGGGTGTGGGAAGTCCTTGGGACACAGCAGAATGAGGCCAGGAAAACACCTGCCAGGGCTTTTGGAAACAACTACAGTTTAGATTCCGCATCTTCAGGGAGAAACGGAGGAGGAAGCAGAGGATCATCCTTCTCTCCCTCTCCTCTCCCTCCTCCATTCCGACTCTGAGCTGGCACCATGGTATGACCTTAACCTCCCACCCCGTGCACACGGGAGCCTGTGTTCGCACTGCCCACTGACCTTTTGCCTGGTAACTACTTGCTAAAGAAGCGTGAGCTTCCCTGTCTCTGAGCAGCAGTTTCTGGAGCAGATGCTGTACTGGAATTCAGTAGCTGCCCCAACTCCTGAGAAAGGTATGATTTTCCCCAAATTCTTAAAGCGGTTTCACATGCAGTATTTTGTGTCTTAATCCTGGGGTCCAACCAGAGGGAAGTTATCACCAGGGGTACAACAGAGCCAGCCTGGAGGACTCCCCCAAGGTTTGGACATATTGAATATCAGGTGGCCACTGACATGCCGGCTTTTCTTTCTCAACTTCAGCATTTAATCATTAAAACAAATAACCAAGCAGGTGTGGGGTCTGTGGCAGTGGACAGAGAGCGGTTGCTTCTCCCAGGAGCTCCCTTCCTGGCGTCCCTGTGCTCTCTGAGTTTCAGTGACCACCCTGGCCCAGGTGACCCGACAAGAAGGTCCTGTTTTTGCAAAGCTGGGTGCCCTCTGTACAACTAGCATTAGACGTCGCTCCCTCCTTAAGCGCTGACATGGCTGGAAGGTCCTGTCAGAAACTGCACACAGGGGCATGGCTGAGACAGGGAGCACAAGTTCAAGTCCTGCCTTGGCAACTCAGGAAGACCTTGCTCGAAAAGAATAAATGCTTACATAAGGGCCAGGGAAGTGGCTCAGTGACAGAGCAGCCACAGGTTTATTCCCCAGAACCACGTCCATGCACACACATGCACGCATGCACACACACACGTGCACATCGACACACGCATGCATGTGCACATACACACTGTGTGGGCCCGGGGCGCAGCACACTCCTGCACAGCGTGGGCCCTGCAATGCCTGCTGCAGGCTACTGGAAACTTCCACAGAGTCCTCATCTTCCAGTCTGCTCTGCACGAGCTAAAGTAAAACTAGATGAAGAAAGCGTACTCCATTTTAGCTAGGACTATAAAGTAAAACAAAAATAAACAGAACATGACTCAAAAGTTCAAGGCTTCCCTGGAGGTGCCTGCAAGTCTTGAGCCTGGCTTATTAGTCTAAATAAAGTCCTGTTTGTGCCTGGTGCTGGGGCCAGGTTCTATTTCTCAACGCTGTGTATACAGAGGTGGTAGACGATACCGCTGCATGTTTACTCAAAAGCACATTATCTTTTACACTAGTTACTGGCCATGAAACATGCTAGACACTGACATCTTATTTTTAGCAAAAGAGAAAACAAGCCAGAACGCTGCTTACCCTGCCGTGGAGAAGCAGTTCATGACAAGTCCTGGCCATGGCGTCCTTTCTAAGACAGACAGCGACGGGCAGTTTGCGGGGGGCAGGGCAGAGAATGGAACTCTTCTGCTCAGTTTGGGTGGAAGCGGGTTTATCCGAGGGCATCTGAGGCACAGAATTGTTAGGAAGCTGAAAGATTGAACCTCCAAGAGCTGCTTTACTGGTCCAAGGCCCGCAAGAAGCTACTGCATGGGGAAGCCACTGGTCCCAGAACCAAGCTGCCCAGGCCGTGGGATCAGGAAGCCACTGGACAGGCAAGGACAACAAGTAGGGCGGCCTCCGCACCTGCAAAGGGTTCTGGGAAATGCAGTTGTTAGCTTTCTAGCTAGAACTCGGCAATACGCATCCCCCACTATATGCACATCTGCTTCCCTAGCATGGATGCCAAGGTTGCTCATTGCTGCGAAAACTGCAACGAACGTTCTTCAGGACTGTGTGGTGTTTCCTTCGGCGTGTATGCCCACCAGTGGGGCGGAAGGACATGGGCATACACACCTTCTTTGACTTAATATTGCCAGAATGGCTCTAGTAGATTAACTCCCAAAAGTTTAGTGCAAAAGTAATTTCATATTTATCTATATTATCATTTTAAATATGAATAAATTCTCTCAGCCTTCATGGGAGAGTCAATTTCTACTTAAAACCTAAATTTCTATTTTTTGTTTTTTAAATACTGGGTTTCTTTAAATAGAATATAAATCTGTGGTCTAACAGAATACTTTATTGAAACTGGTTTCTTTTATAAAAAAGAGTGGAAGGAAGGACAGCAGAGAGGCCTGTAGCCAGGCCTGGAATGAAGAGGTAATGGGTATTGTGTAACCTGTAGAGTTTGAGTTTGAGTTGAGTTAGAGATGAGAAAGACCTGGAAATCTCTTGCCCAGCATGGGTATTCTTGATATTCACACTGGACTGTACACTCACATGGCTCAGATGTTAAGTTCCTGCTTGTGGGGGTTTTAAAATCACAAGTGAAAACTGCAAAACATTGGGACTCCTGGGCACTGGCTATTTCTGTGACATTTTAGAATTGTAGAGATTTCTCCACGTTGCTTTGTTTCCTTCTTCCTTAGGAAGAATCCTTGATGTGTCTTTCATTGTTATTTTGTGACGGGTGTTAATTGAATGCGTACTATTCAGAATCTAAATGATAGAAGAAACTATGAAATATGGCTGCAAAATAATATGTGGTCATCTTGCAACAACCTGCGCCTTCTGGCGCCTTTAGAATTCTGCGTTAACAGGATGGTTCGAAGGAAAACAAATTGTCCAGGAAACCAGCGAAAGCATTCAATTAGGTTTCCAGAACACAATGAGATTTTCTTTGTTGAAATCCTAGCGTGGTGGAGCCAGCTTTCTTCGGCTCTGTGGTCGGTGCTCCTGGCTGAGCTGCTGGCTGGGGCCCGTCCCTGCCATGGGGCTCATGACCTTTTACAGAGAACGTCCCGTGACTGCACCCTGGTGGGGGTGAGACGTAACTGCGTTACCGTTAAATTACCCTTGTCCAGACTCCTCCTTCGCAAACACCTCCAGGAGACCCTGGGAGCCAGGCAGGTGTCCACCCCTGTGCACGCGGGATTGCATTTGAGCCGTTCCAGGTAGGTGAGGAGAGGGACGAGGTGATCCCACCGCCTCCTACGAACTCATCCAGGTTTGACAAAGCTGCTGCCACAGTTGGTCCGCATCTCCTCTCCTGGGTGCACCTTATCCCTGATCCCCTTTCTGGTTAATCTCAAATAGAGATCGGAAGCAGCTGCCTTGTCTTCTCTGGAAGAGACATTTACAGAGGCGGCCCAAGTGTTCAGTTCTCACTGACTTTGCTGAGCACTTCTCTGTGGCTTTGCCCCTTGCACTCTATCTTTCAGGCCCCTTAATTAGTATCTTTTTGACACTTCTCTGAATCCCTTATTGCACTGCTGTAAAATTGAGAGAGTCTAGCCTTTTGGGAACTCTGATACATTTCTAAATATTTTTGAGGTTAACAGAAAAATTACTCACTCTTGCACAGTACTCGTAGGAAATATCATTAACTCACCTCCTAAATCTTCACGGTCCTGCTGACAGAAAGTACAAGCTGTTGTCTCCATTCTGTGCCAAGCCGTGGGCTCTCAACTCAGACGGCCAGCTTCTCTCTGAGAGGGTTGTAACCCACACGGAAAATAAGAGGTGACATCGGGACTATGTAAATATACACTGATGGAAACAAGAACCAACTAGGGTGAATATAACGCTTTTCCGGTATCTAACATTTTTTTTTGTTCTCCTCTTGTTTCCTTGTTCTAAAATAGAGAAGTTCTATTGAAATCACATCATTTTGAAGTACCAGGCTTTGACATTTTAATGACCATCCTTTTGTGTTTCTCTGTGTGTATTTACTTTCACACATTTATAATTTACCTCACATGTAAGCATACCATCATTGTATTGGTCATATTTTTAAATATGCTTTTTCTGTGTGCATTCTTTTCTTCCCTTAGTCTCCATCTTCCTCTGGGTAACTGGTATATTTGCCCTTCCAGTTCTTTCAGTGACATTCAAATATGTAATGAAGGACTTGCCAGCGTTTTTAGGAAAAATTATGCCATCTTTCCTGCCGCATGCTTTTCCCACTATTAGGCTTTGTAGAAATGTGGGCCAGGCAGCTGGATGCATTTTCAAGGCTGTGTCGTGGCATGGACCTAGCCCCGTGGACTCCACCAAGCCCCCAGCAGTGACGCCGTGACATTTTGCGTGTCTGTGTCTGTGAAGTCTTCAGAGTGTGGCCCCTTCACCGTCGCTACCTCGGAGCAGAAGCACAGAGAGAATTAAGCAGCTGTGCTAATTAAATGAAATAAATGGATGAAACCCTCACCCCCCAAGCTAGGAACAAAAGGAAAGAAAAAGAAAAAAGGTACCAGTAAGGATAAAACCAAGAGATAGAGAAATTTGGTAAGCAAAAACGAAGCGTTCATGAAGTTCAAACTCTGGCTCTATGGGTAAAAACAAAATGGGCAGCCCACTGGCCAAACCAGTGAGTAAAGAGGAAACCGAGGCATGCAGCATAGAAATAAGGAAGTTCAGAAGACAGAAAGCTTTTAAAATTGTAAGGAACCGAGTGTGATGGTGCACACTTGTAATCCCAGCACTCAGGAGGCTGAGGCAGGAAGAGCACTGTGAGTTCAAGGCCACCCTGGGCTACAAAGTGAGTTCAAGGCCAGTCTGAACTGCATAGTGAAACTCTGTCTCAAAAAGACAAAAATAAATTTAAAAATAAAATAAGATAAACTTGTAAAAAACTATTTTGTACAACTTGCTGCAAATAAAATTGAAGTAAATGATTTTATGGTCTAATAAAATTTGCCAGTAGATATGGAAAATCCAAGTAGACCGGTTGGCAGAGAACAAAGGAAAATCAAGGAGCATTCCATTATGAGGCCAGGTGGCTACATGCTGGGTATTTAGACTATTCCAAAGTATGGCTTAAAAATTTCCTGAAATTTACATAGATTTCAATCTACAAGGTAAATTGATCCCAAAACTTAATAAAATTACCTCCAAAAAGTAAAACTATAAGTCACACTCTCTGTTTTATTCCATTTAAACATCTATCCCAAGAGACCTTAGACTAGGGAATTTATAAATAGCAGAATTTTTTGTTGACAGTTCTGGAGGCCAGGAAGTTTAAACTCAAGGTGCTGATGAATTTGATCTCCAGTATTGATATAGGGGAAAGAAACTCCCAACCAGATAGATAGCTGTGTTTTCTCTAAAATTGAAGAATGAATTTTAGGAACAGTGGAGGTTAAGAGGAGAATATATTGGGGGAAAGAAAGCTTCTGTCCAAGAGAGAGACAGAAGGTGTCCCGAATGGGTTGTCAAAGACCCTACATTTTCTAGGGATTTTTATAGAGCAAATCCATGATGTGAGGCGGATCTAAAGTGGGCAAAATGGGAACTCACAAGGTGGGTATGAAGTGGGACAAAACTATGGTCAACCAGTAAGATTATAAGTATAATGGCTCAGGTAAAATTAAGTGAGGATCAAATGGGGAAGCAAGTCACAGCAAGTGGGCATGAATACAGAACAGGGGCTTTTCCTGTAGGGGGTTGGGTTAGTTGGCTCTCTGGCTTTCTCAAGGTCACAGAGACCTATTTAGAATATCAATTCCTGATGTTTATCCTTAGGGAAGTAGATGGGTGCATTTGTTTCATCTTTTTTCTTGACGTCTGGCTCTCAGCTGGAGGTGTCTGTGTCTCCCCAACAGCTGCGAGGCATCTCTTCTTCTGCACTGGCTCCTTGGTGGGCCTAGCCTATCTGACTGCCTATAATATTGTATCTAACTTAGTTGCCTACAACATGGTGAGCAACAGTTTTTTAAGGATGGGTGCTTCCTGCTGGGTTCCCACATGGTGGAAGTCAAGCCAGGAGCCTGAGCAGCTGAGTCAGCAGCCTGACTGCACGATTCTGCTATAGGGCTGGGGTCTTGTCCAGAATCTTATGTCCAAAGAAAGAACTGAGCAGGACACCCAAGGGTAGCAGCAGGATCAATGATTTATCAACTCCACATGGTGGGAGCAGGCCAGTGAGAAGATCTGACATGATGTGTATTGGGTCGGGGGGGGAGTTCCCAGGGCAGGCAGTGAGCTTGTCTTGACTTGCAACAAGGATTGTGGTGTCCGAGCTGATGATAAATGGATACTGACCTGAGCTGCCACAGCAGCAGTGACCATTGCTCCTGATTCTTTAGGTCCCACCTGAGCTTGGCCCCAGGCCCATCAGCTTGTCGCCTGGAGCCTGGTGCTTAAATTCATTTTATTTTTATTCTAAAGTCATGGTTTCATTTCTTTTCTTCTCTCTCTCTCTCTCTCTCTTTTTTTAGTCTTTTTGAGACAGGGTCTCACTATGCAGTTCAGGCTGACCTTGAACTCACTTTGTAACCCATGCTGGCCTTGAACTCATAAGGATCCTCCTGCCTCACCCTCCCAAGTGCTGGGATTACAGGTGTGCACCACCACTCCTGGCCAAAGAAACGGTTTCTGAGAAATGGTTCTCATTTCCTCCCGTATCACCAAGGGGCTTTTGTTTACTGCTTTTCTTTCCAATCAACCACTCCAGCTACAGAAACTACTCTTGCTTCTCTTAGGAAATAAGTATAACCCACACCTCCACCCCTCCAGAAAGAGTGTGAAGATGGGGAGTGAACTTGTGAAGACATCCTCAGAGTGTGATGTTCCACACCTCTGTTCATTTGTACAGGCAGACAGAGCTATGGGTGGGAACCATGAGCTCCCAAAGTGGAGAACATGAGAAAAAGAAAATTCTGGAGTTTTCTGAAAGAGACCTTGGTCTCCTTTACCCCTATAATGTCACCTGAAAGGGGAAAATGTTTCTGAAAACACAGATCTTTTAGTTGAGACCCCAAGTATCTAAAAACATAATATAATTGTCAAAAAAAAGAAAGAAAGGAAGGAAGGAAGGAAGAAAGAGAGAGAGAGAGAACAAAAAAGAAAGAGAACAACAAGAAACGAAAAAAAAAGAGAAAGAAATGATAGGTTTTTTTTTGCCACAGATAAGAATAGAACAAAAACAAAAATGCCTTTATTGTGGGTGTGGAGAAGACCACAGTAGTCTCCTGGTACCGGGGAAAAAAACCAAAAAAAAAAAAAAAAAAAAAAAAAAAAAGAGACCACAGTAGGAAAGAGGGAAGTGGAGCTTTTTGAAGGCCTGGCTAGGGTCAACTGTTAAATAGGGCTTGGCTGGAGGTGGGGCTTTAGGGGTGGACCACCTGACATTGTAGACCGGAACTGGGTAGGAGCCTGGGAAAAGGAAACAGGATATTACAAAAAGGGAAGTAGGAAGTCATAATTTGACTCAGAGGAGGAAGGGTGGGGCTTAGCTCATGGCCTCTAGTGGCCAGCGCCATATTGGCTCAGCACCATAGTACATGACCTCCAGTTGGTGGTGCCATAGCCACTCTGCAGGAATTACAGTGAGGCAAGAAACTCCCATCAAGAAAGAAAGAAGGAAGAAAGGAAGGAAGGAAGGAAGGAAGGAAGAGAGAAAGAAGGAAGGAAAAAGGGAAGGAAGAAAGATAGAAAGAAGGAAGGAAGGGAGGGAGGAAGGAAGGGAGGGAGGAAGGAAGAGAGGGAGAAAGAAAGGAAGGAAGGAAGAGAGAGAAAGAAGGAAGAAAGGAAGGAAAGGAGGAAGGGAGGAAGGAAGAGAAAGAGAAAGAAGGAAGGAAGGAAGGCAGGAAGGGAGGAAGGGAGGGAGGGAGAAAGGAAGGGAGGGAGGGAGAAAGGAAGGGAGGGAGGAAGGAAGGAAGAGAGAAAAAGAAGGAAGGAAGGGAAGGAAGGAAGAAAGAAGGAAGGAAGGAAGGCAGGGAGGGAGGGAGGGAGGAAGGAAGAGAGAAAGAAGGAAGGAAGAAAGAAGGAAGGAAGATAGAAAGAAGGAAGGGAGGAAGGAAGGAAAGGAGGAAGGGAGGAAGGAAGAGAAAGAGAAAGAAGGAAGGAAGGAAGACAGGAAGGGAGGAAGGGAGGAAGGAAGAGAAAGAGAAAGAAGGAAGGGAGGAAGGGAGGAAGGGAGGGAGAAAAAAGAGAACAACAGCCAGACCTTTGCCTCCTCAAGGCTCTAGAAAGCTGATACAGAAGCTGAAAAGATCAGTTCCTGTAGCAGGAAGAGATTTTGCTGTAAAAGGACGGCTTTGGTGCACCCTGGCTCCTGGGGAGACAGGACCTGGGAAGGGCGAGGGTCGGGGAATGTAGCCCCGATGCTCCGTGCAGCCGCACCAGAACTGAGAGCTCCAGGCAGGCTCCCAGTACTGCAGACCCGCGTCCCGGCGGCTGGTGCACACCCAGCACTTCACTGCTGGAGTCGTCCAGGTTGCTGATTACTTCCAAACCTGTCAGAGTGTGGATGGCAGCCTGCAGGTGCCCCAGACTCCCCCTCCCACTGTACCCAGTGCATCCCTTTCCCCAGGAGTCAAAGTCCCGCACACCTGGGGGACATTCCTGAGCCTTACTCAGTGTCTGTCAGGATTCTTTGAATTGAACCGTTAGGCCCTGTCTTGGTTACTTTTCTCTAGTTGTTGAGACAAAATATCCAACACCCAAATTGAAGGAAGAAAAGGTTTATTTAGCTCACAGT